TTCCTAGGTTATGGTGTAGAGGAGCAGGTTCTCATTTACCTTTTTATGTCTACAGTTGTAAATAACTTTCATGCCCCACTGTAATCATAATCACCACCTGTCTTGAACGTAAAAGAATTGATGTACCATTCACTTCATGGTTATACATTTATAAATATTAGAATATAGCAAATGTCACAGTATCAAGCTGAATAATATAATTTGCTGTATGATAATAAATTTCTCCTTAAAAAGAGAAATCTTTCTCCTTGTGTACCATTTAGTTAACTGTTTTTTTGTTTTTTTTAATCTGTTATTTTTTTATGTCTGGGGTATTGTATACTTAATCTTCCTGTTCATTTTTCATTCTTCAGAGAAACGCATACGTGTAGATATGTGTCATAGACATGCTCATTATCACTATATTATTTTCACTTCGTATCTCGCTTCTATTTGTTTGAAGGCTTTGCATGCTGAATACTGCCCAATCATTGAGCTTATGTTGCATGGATTTTTGAAAATTCAAAAATAGCACTTTGTAGTACAGCTTATCAGTGTTTTTCTGTAAACTTTTTGTTGCTTGGTATGCATGAGTGGTGTAGTGTAGCCTTATAACATTATCTCTGATTTTTACTCGTTCTTTACCTCCATTCTCACTTCCCTCTCGGAGGTGGAAGAACGAGTATTGTGCTTGGTCTGGTGTAATTTAGTCTCTCGATTCATCTCAGTAACCACAACACCTACAACTATGCCAAATGTATCAAACTGTAGGTCTTGGCGGCCTAACCAATCAATAATAGAGGTTTTTTTCGGTTTATTACGCAAAATTGAAAGAAATTTCAGAAATAAGGTCGACAAAATCGCCGGTCGAGCGTGCGTTTCGGATGGTTTTTCTACACGGACAAATTTCTTAATAGAGATAAGTTTTACCTAAAAAAAATTGGCTAAACAACTAAAAATAGGCTAGCCGTTAATGTTTCAACTTAAAACAATCATATTATAAACTTTTTTGGTTCTCATAATGATTAAAACCTATCTCAAATGAAATTCTTCCAACACGAAAAAAACAATCAAGCGCATGCGCGAACAGCGCCATCTATTGAGAAAAGCTAAAACTGCGTCGGCGCGAAAAGTTTTGAAGAGCGGTCATTGACAACAATGATGTTTCTGTTTTTATTTCGTAATCACACCAGACCAAACTTGGGTAAAGAACGAGGTTTCTCCTAATGTATCAAACATGTTTGATGCCCTGATGCTCTTCTTGTTTTTTAATGACATCATAAAAATGGCCTCAAACATGGTACCCTGTACAATTTTTTAAGAGCAGCCACTAGTGTAGTTTCTACTATTTTTCATATAAGTACCTATACATTAATTTTTATACAGTAACATCCTGATTGCTAATTGCCAATAAATGGATACGACTTAAAAGTGATAAATTAAACCACTAGAAACTGTCCAGTTCTTTTGCTGTAGGAAGTATTCGATGTGGTTGATATTGTCCCTTAGTTAATTGTTGGTACCCTTTTGTAGCGCTTGTTTTATGAGTTTGGCTTACTTATTGTGTTAATTTGTTTTTTAGGGACAACAGAAAAATGCCTACCGCAGGTACCCCTGAGGAAACGGCTCTGCTGGGGTAAGAAATATGCCTATTATCTTTCTTTGGTGTACAACCATACACTATCCTTGGTGTTGGTTGCTTCATGTGAACTTTTCTTGTTAACTGCTGTTCACAATAGCAAGCTCCAAAGAAATGTCATATCAAGTGCTTACAATCTCCATACTTGTGTACAGCCAGAGCCTGAGTCTTTCTCTTTTCTCAACAACTATCTTCTCTAGCAGGATAACATTTCATGGCAAGATGCCCTGAGGTGGGGCCTGGTTTCTTCCACATTTTCATTTCCTTAAAAAAGAGTTAGTGATTGTCTCTCTCGGTCATTTCTGTAGGATTTTAAACCTTTCCTTCAGTTGTCTATAGATAATTTATATTTGTAAGATTTGCTCTAATTATGTAACATTGTACTAAATCTTTATCAGTAGCTTCTTACTGTAGCATACCAAAAGTACCTGATATCTAGTCTGATTTGCACTTGTTGTAACTTGCATGTAACTGTTATACTGTATCTTTAGCTTTTGTACATCATACTTTGATAGTCCAGTTGCTTACATTTATCAAAATACTTTCTTCTAACTTTCTTTATACGTTTCATTATTTATCTCTAAACAAATTATACATCTAAACGTTCCTCAGGCTCGGATGTCGACAAGCTTTACGAGTGACAATAGTTGTTTGCACGGTCCTTGTCACTCGGGTGTGAATGTGTGTGTGGCTGGGTGCGGGGGTGTGAGTGAGTCTCCCTAGGAATGCAGCCCCGAGCCCTCGCCCGCCGGTCCGCCCGCCGGCCCGTCCTAATTGCTCGCCTCGCCCGCTGCAGACCGGACCGACTGATCGATATCCCGCGTAATAAAAGCGGCGGCTAGGGGGAGCGACTGCCTCGTCTCTGTGTGATGTTTCTTTTCGCTGTGTCGTCGTGTACACGGCGGCGGCGTGCAGTCGGCATAGCTCGCCGTCACGGCAGCCGCCCCCCAGCCAGCCGCAATCCGCGAACCCACCCTCCTGCCCTGCCGCCTTGCCGCCTTTTGCTCGCCGCACCCCGCCTCTGCCCCGCCCCCGCGCGCCTGCTGCAAGTTCGGCAATTCCAACGACTCGCCTTTCCTCCGTCCGTCCCCCGTCTCCTCCCGTCCCAGCCCGACCTCATGCAGGGCAGAGCCTGCCTAGGAAGTACCTCGGGGCCGCTGGGCCGGGCCACCGGGCTCGGCGCTCCCATATTGATCGCCGCTGGCTCGGAGTGGTCAGAACACGCACACCTGCCGGGCCGGGCCGGGCCAGGGGCGCCTTTCCTTCCTCAATATCTCCGCGCGGCCAGGGGGCGGATCTAGGCGGGGGCGGCCAGGCCAGGGGGCGCCAGATAAGGTCCGTCCGAAGCCTCCCGCCCCGCCCCGCCCCGCCCCGCCCCGCTCTATCGAGTTCCCCCTTTATAGATCCGGCCGGGCTTTGCTATTGCCTTTGCCCCCCCCGACAGACGTACGCTAAGTGTTTCCCTGGGCGCGCTCGGCGATGCAGAGTTGGGCAGCCTGACGGGCGGGGCGGGCGGGGCGGGGCGCGAGGAGGACGTGCCTTGCATTCGAGCCGCAGTGCCGTCTGTTTGTTGGGAAGCCGGAGAGTCATCTCTCTGGAATAAAAATTGGGAGTCGGGGTGGATGGAAGGGGGGGAGGGGGATCGAGGGAGAGGGGGTTGAAGGGCTCGGCGACGGATCTGAGCTGAGAGCGTCGGCGTCCGGAGCAGCGGGGACCCCCGGTGTTTGCACATCAGCGGTCCCCGAGTCATGCTTATACCGTACCTCCGTCTCGAGCTTGTTGTCGGAGACGGTATGGGCGCCACTGTGACGGCGAGTACCTCCCCATCCCTCTCCATGCTGCCCCCGCAGAACTAAACACACTGCCTGCAAAAGCCCGTTCATAGCCACTTAAACAAATGGCAGCCGCGACTGAGGCCGTGTAGTACTTTGTGGCTTGGGCGGGGCGGGGCGGGGTGGGCGGTGGGCGGCGAACCGGTGCTGCAGGCCCTTGCGGCTCGGCGCGGCGGCGCGGGGCGGAGGGCAGCCGACCGGCCGGCGCCGGCACGAGGAAGGGGATGTCCCTCCCACCGCCCCTCCAGCAGCGTCGCGGCTGCACCCCCTGCCCGGAATAAGCAGCATGGACTGCCTGGCGGCCCTGGCCCTGCAACTCGGCGCAGCACACCTCGTCGTAAAAGAAGGCCCTGCCCGCCCTGCTCTCTCGCTCCTGGTGCCGCCCCGCCCCGCCCCGCCCTACTGCGACTGCTTCCTTCCCCGTCACGCGCTGCGACGCCGCGCACGCGCGCACGCGTCGCCCAAAGCAGAAGGTGGCGTGGCGTGCCGGATTACTTTGTTATTATTTCATTTCCCTTTTTCTTTTTCGTCGTCATTTTGGCCGGCGCGGCCTTGGGGACGTCTCCCCTCGGGTGGAAAAGAGGGGGGGGGGGACTGAGGGTAAGGTAGACAGCCCGCACGCGACTCCCAGGAGGAGTAGGGATCCCAGGCCCCGGGGGGAGGGGCGGGGTGGGTGAGGTTCTCATTTCCTGGACCCCTCCGGGGCCCCACTCACGGACGCAGGCCCCCCGGCCGTCGCGTAGCGGGCTCGACAATCACCGTCGCGCGACGCGACCCGACCCGCCGGGGCCGGGGTGCTTTACACTGCTCTGCCGGACTCTACCCCCGTCGTGTCGCACTCCATTCTCCTGATCCCTCTCTGATGAGATCACTGGCCGGCCGGGCCGGCGAGGCGCTGCCCCCCGCGCTGCCTGCCGGAAGCCTTGCAGCCAAGCTCTCGGCAGCGGAAGCCCCTGCCCCCTCCCGCCCCGCCCCCCTGCCCCCATGGCTCCCCCGCTTGGCAGGTGTGGCACCCGAAGGACCGCGCCGCCGTGACGCGGGATCCCCTCGGACAATGTCGCCGGTAACGTCCTCCTGACGGCGCCACTGCGTCATCCTCCCAACTCGCACAGGGTGTCGCCAACAGTACGGCAGTGCTCCCCCTCGCTCCCCCTCCCCGGGACTGTCGGCACCTCCCTTTTAGACGTACCCGTTATGAGGTCGTCTATACCGGACGCATTTAACGTCATCATGGCTCAAACCGGCCCGGGGGGAAGTTAGGGAGAGAAAGGAATGTGATTGGAAGTCATGGAAAAGCCGTGGAAATTTCGTTAGTAAGATTTGATAACCTTTTTATTTGGCGCTGATTGAAGCGGATACTCCTGGCCGTGTCACCTTGTGAGATCGGGCGCGGCTCGAGTGTCCCGTTGAGCGGGGCGGGCCGGGGCGGCGGTGCAGCGCGGGCCCTGCATGGGCGTGGCCGGCTCGGCTGCCCGTGCGGGCGGGACGACGACAGTGGCCCGTAGGGCCCGCATCCTGTAGACGGCGGCCACAGCAGCTCGCTAACAGGCGAGATGGACCCGCTGCGGCCTCGTCAAGCTCCTCCATCCCCCACCCCTCCCCCCGGCACTGACCCGGGCCTCCCGCATATCTGTCGTGACTTCCGAGGCTGTCATGTCGTCTTGCTTGGCCCCCCTGCAGCGGGACGACGCGCAAGTGCGTCGCGCGGGGGCCGGTGGCGTGTAGAGCCTCCCTCCGAGCGAGCCTCTCCCGCCAGGCTGGAGGCAAAGCCCCAAAAACACACGAAATGACGCGGCTGCGCGGTCGAAACACGCAATAAGGCAGCCAACGGGCACTGGTGCTCAACGGGCCGGCCTACCCGCAGGCGCCCCAACGCCTGAAGTGTAGGCAGCCAACGGGCACTGGTGCTCGGCGGGCCGGCCTACCCGCAGGCGCCC